GTATGATCAGGCATTTTTGTCTACTTCTGTGACTCTCAGACCCATCATAATTGAAAAGTAATCAGCATTTCTCTTGGCTTCCATGCAGAGCTTCTAGAGAGCATCCGTCCTTTGAAGGCAAGAAGAATAAATCCTCGATCTGGAAATTGTAAGTCTTTACACTACATTTTTACATAAGGATGAAAGAACTATTTCAAAATTTCATGTTAGATACCAAGATAAAACTTTGCTCTGAACATTTATGACATGCTGTGGTAATGGGCACTGGTTCATATTGATTTAGTCAATGCACTGAGTAATCAAGAATCCAGGATACAAAATACAGAATAGTGAGAAATTTTTTTAAAAGGGAACCTCAAAAACAGAGATTGTTTTGACAAAGGGTACTTTCCCTCTTCTCTCAGTTTCAGCAACTTGTTCAGCACCACCCCGGCAGCTCCTCAGAGGAAGCCAGGCTACCCCCACGCCAACATCCGCTACAACGCCCCTACATCCAGCGTCACACCCTCTGCCAAGCAGCGGACCCAGACTATTGCCTCCTTGGACAACAGAACCAAAGCCTTTGAGTTCTTGGAGGATGGGTGAGTCTGTGGAGGGACTCCCCAGCAGTGCTGTAGCCGAGTCCGTCATTATTCCCTGCAAGTCCATCACAAGCCATCCAGTTTTAAACCAATTTGCAGGCTAATCAGATAAACTATGACAAAAGCATTCCTTTGTCACTGCTTACACCTTTTCTTAAAGGCAGGTTCATACTGCATGTGAATGTGAGAGCAAAGCAAAAGACTTGCAGCAGAATTTTCCTGGAGTTGAAATGTACTCAAGTACAAGTACTGCTACACTGCTTGAGATCTACTATAGAACGTCTTTGAGTTAAGATCCCATGGGCCTGTGCACCTCTGTTCACACAAACTGATATATCAAGTTGTCTCAACGTGCTGACTGTGTTTGAACTATTTCCATGTGATTCCAACAGCAAATGTCTGAACTGATTGACACAAAGCCAAGCGTGGCTGTAAAGCCTGATTCAGCCTTTTATTTTTGTCAAATCTCGAGCTGCACCTTAGTGTCAAGTGGTTACTGTTTAAAGCACATGGAAATCCCCTAAACCTTTGGCCATGTATGAATCATGGGATTTTTCGGTGTAACAGGAAGTCAGAGGTTTTCAAATCAGGTGACAAACTCATGAAACGTATGCCTTAAAACAAAAGTGGGGGTTGTGAAAATTTTGCAATTTGTGGGGGGTTCTTGATGTACGCAGGTGTAAAGATTGTGAACATCTAAACCTGTAGTGATTAGTAAAAATTTCCTCATCCCTAAGATGGGGTTATTAATATTTTGTGGAAGCTCTCTATCAATCTTTCAGTCCTGACGACTTAAGGCTTGTTTGTTCTCAGTGACCCACGACTCAACAAGGACAAGCGGGAGCAGTACAAGAAAGTCAAGGCCCACGTCCGGCAGGACGATGGCCGAGTGCAGGCCTATGGCTGGAGCCTACCGGCCAAGCTCCCCAGCCCCCCCAGGGGCCCCACTCAGCAGACAGGCAGCATGGTAGGGGTGCCTGTCCCCGTCTTCTGTCGACCGCTGGCGGAGAAGGAGCTGGGAACAAAGGTATCAGAAATCTCCCTGCCCTTTGCCCTTGGAGTTGAGTGTTAGGCCTGACTTTGCTGAGAATCCCACGCAGAAAGCAAGGAGCTTTAATTTTAAGAAGTGGATTCCTGGTCTAATTTCCCGTTCTGTATGAGCAGTGAACCAGGAAAGAAATCACTCTAAATTTCTGTGCCTTAGGAATACTGGCAATTTACAATTCAGCGCCACCAAGAGGTTGACACAGAGAGGCCATTTTTTTCAAGTTCCGCATTTGACAAAAGTATGGTTGACTTTCTGCAATTTGCAATGAAGTCAATGTCAATGGACAGTTTGAATTCTATCTAGGTATTCCTTATTTCTCAAAAACCCACCACCACCTTGTTAACACATATACTTATAAAAAGCCTTTCAAATCTTCGTCCCAGAGAAACACTGGGAACAATTCAAGCTTCTGCAGCTGACAAATAGAACTTTGCCTACCATTTTCCCACAATGCACTGCGAAAAAGGTCCTCCCTGGCAACCTCTGGAAAACTGGAAAAAAAAATAGTATTTCCTCTGAAATCTTTTAGAAGAAAAAAGTTGTGGGAACAGCCACGGAAATAAAGCTCAAGAAAGTGTTTTCCGTTGATGGACTGCTTTTGATGTGATAATGGAATAAGGATAAATCTACTGGCTATACCCTTGTAAGTGTACAATAGTGGCTACGACAGTCTACCCATTCATAATACTAAACAACTTTTCTCCTCAAGAAAGCCTTAAACGTCACGGAAATTGTCATATTGTAGTCCGGGAAAGTCTCGGAAAAGAAAATGCACCAGTGAGCTAGTTCATTATTTCAACAGCGCATGTCCCATACAAGGCTGTTCGGGAACAGTCAGATACGCGCGTGATAGTCTGTCCAATCAGTGCAGGTGTACGCTGACTTGTGCGTGCTTTGTTCCCGAAAGACCTTGGGTTCTTGAAATAACAGACTGGCTCGTTTGTCAGTTCTCTTCACTGAAGGCTCTATTTTCTATAATGATAGATCTGGTGTGCTGCTGGGGTGAATCTGACCGGGGGTCGCACCAGGGATGGTGGGTCCATAGTCGGAGCCAGTGTGTTCTACTCCAACAGCGCCCCTGAAGACAGTGCCCAACTCAGGAAGGAGAGATCGGACTCAGAACTGGACAGACTTGATGAAGAAATCACGGTAAAAATTAGCTCCACATCAGTTTTGTCTTTTGACAAAGATTATTGGCAGTTTCTTCCAGCACGTTTTGAGAACTCACTCATCCTGTCATCACTTGAAAACTATTTGATGCATCACTTGATATATGTGACCCGCTGGGACAAAACTCCCACATTTGACATTTACAGATATTCACATCACCGTGTAAAGCAATTTGTAAGCTTTCAAAAGAGCTGCCATGGAAAGCAGTAGCCCACTGCAGTCTCGAGATGTTGGTGGGTTAAGACGATATAGCGCCCTCTGTCTTGCGTACCCTCATTTTGAGAACGACGGCCTTGAACATGCAACAGCTTTGGAAAAGTAAACATTGCATAGGGGAGTTTGTTGGACATATACAAAATGCCATAGCAACCGCCATATCCGTGATTTTTTCACCAGTTGTAGAATCATATGAAGTGTTGTTTTTGTGAAATTTTCATTACAATATCTTACTTCATTTTGGTTGTATGCATTCCTGAACTTGAAGTAAAAAATTCACACAGGACTTGCACTCACAGTGAGGGCACACGTTGTGCCTATATGCTACGCATGCACATACAGTGGTGCTGACACGCGCAGTGCATTGCAGCACATGCCAACCCAATGAGAGGGCTCCTCATTATAAAACCTTGGAGCTATTAAATAAAACCAGGCCCTTCAAGCTCAAGATAATTTTTTCTTGCTTGACAAGGCTGCGTGATTTATGGCGGTTTGCAGTTTTATAGTCTCCCTTCGAGGTCAACAGGCCAGGTTTTGGCAATTGACATGTAGGCTTAGCTAGACTAGGCGATTTTTGTCCTCATGCACGTTGGTGTGTTTTTCAGCTTTGGCCTGTTGTTACAAGGCTTGGAACTGGGTAATTTGTGTTGCTTTAATCATTGGGCAAAAGAGTGTTAGATTGAAGGGCTACTTTGTAGTTGATGATGAGGATTAATTCAACTTATCTCGTACCCCAGGGACTAAGATTGTTGATCTCTGTATTTTTTTTTATGCTTTCACATACACGTAGTGAACCCTTCATTTCAGAATTCCATTCACAGTCTTTTCCCTTTTGCAGGTCATGAAAACTGAAAACTATTCACAACATGATCTGTGGCAAATTTAAAAAGCATAGAAAGAATACCATAGAACACAGGCATCATTAATTATTCCTTGACATTTCTGCAGCCACCAAAGTCTTTTTCCCTGTCATGGTCCATGGTGGTTTGTACATGTACGTGTGGGTGGTGATGTCAGTCTAATGGTAGTTTTTCCAGAAATTAAGTCAGTACATGAAAGACGAGAATAAATCTTATACAGCTTCATTGTCTCATAATAACGGTTTTCTTTAATGTATGAATCCTGAAATTATAATGTTACAACCGAATGAAGATTTCTGGGCCGGCTGACCTAACCCCCATATAGTTCAGTGCTACATTACTGCCAGAGGGAAGTTGAACCTAGGGTGGGTAAAACCTTGGGAAACGTTATGTAATTTCATATAGAAAGAAAAACCTCCCACCTAGCCCCAACAATTAACTTTGTCAACTGAGTGTTTACACATTAGGAAGCCTGTAACATTCAACTTCAGTTTCTGATGGATGTTTAGATGCATACACAACCCCAGGTTCGGCAGAAGAAACTCTGTCTTAAAAATTGTCTGAAATTCTCAATAACGCCAACATACATGTAATATCTCACTTTGGCTATTAAGGAATGACTTACAAATTACAATTATTTACAACACGCAATCAAAAAGACTAATAGGAAAGGTTTTTTCAAGGAATTACTACAGCATTTGGCCAAGGGAAAGATGCAAATTGATAAACATTGTTCTTGATCTTCTAATCAACATCAGTGCGGGTAATCCAGGTTAGTCAAGCTACGTGTAGATGTTATTCAAAGATACCTTTTTCCAGAGCTAATTATTAGCATTATTAGCCTATGTGGCAAAATTTAAGTTCTCCCCTGAAGTGATGAAAGCTCTTGATCCCAGTAAGAGGCTTGAAGTACTCCCTAAGGAATGCCTGCCAGTTGATGGTTGAAACGTATATCTCCCGAGTCCCACTGCCCACTAGAAGACGCTCCACACCTGATGCCTATAGCAATGCTGGTGTTCATGGTGTTGGTCATGCAGACTACCGTATCTTGTCGGGATGACAGGGAGGAGCATCAGTACTTCTGCTGCAGGAGGCTGAAACACCAATTGGAGGTGAACTTGGTGTGTCCAACCATCATGAAGTTGAGTGTGATACTCATGTGCAAACTGTAGATAGTTCTGCAGTAATGTACTATGCATCTGTGTAAGTTAACCCCTTCACGGGCAGAATTATTTTGACCGTGACTGCTGGGCTGTGGTATGCCCTGAATGGAGGGCTTTGTCCAGCAGCAGGCCCCATTGAACCAGCAGCTGCATGGTGAATAGACTCTATGTGTGGTATGCACTAATCCTCACACAACGGTGCGGTAGTAGCAGTCCTCCGTAGCAAAGGAGATAAATATGAGAATGTAAATACAGTCATGTAACAGTTAAAGTGAAGGCCTACGTGTTTAAGGCTACAGCATCATGCATGTACAGTCACTCTCTACGCAATGTGGAGGTCTCTCGCGCAGCTCAGACTTCAGAAACGAAAATGTGAACGTCAAATGTGGCGTTCACATTACGTTTTGCATGTGTGCAAATGCAGCGAGTACGAACCAGCTCTAATGGGCATAGTGACCTTTCCCCTGTCCACCCACTGACTATGTAAACACTCAATTTCCTCTCTTTGCCAGATGCTTCCAAGCTCTTACTTTTCCTAACTGACATGTAACGTTGAAAGGGAACTTGTCAATTAAATCCGAAAATATCCTGAATGTGAAGAAAATATCACCTGTTTTTGTTGCACCCTGGACAGTTGGTCGCTATGGAGATGAACAACCTCTTTACCAAGTCCGCAAGTCCCAAAGAAGTGATGGTGATGCAGGTAGATTATGACTTGAAGTAGTCCAACTGGTCGGTGATCAGACACGGCTGAGCATCTTCATCCGTATGAGAGCCAAGCATGTTGTTGGCTTCCCGAGTGGAGTTCAGAGCTTCATGCAGGGCCATCAGTTCAGTCGTTTTCCCACACGAATGCAAAAATTCAACAATTCCAAACAATATTATGAAAACAGCAATAACACAGTCAGTAATTAAATCAGGAAAACTTGCTGAAATGTTTACACAGAGAGATTTTGCGTGAATTTCTCAGACGATACACGTACATGTCACCTCTCAAGCTCAGACCCAAGCAACAAAGGAGCACAGCTTGTACAACAAACTCTGCGTTCTGTACGGAGTCTGTCCAATCTCGGAATACGTATGCATCAGCGCTCATCCTTATTGCATGCGGAAGGTCAGGCTGGCAACAAACTCAGCACGACTGATTCGAGACAGGTCAGACGCGTTAAGCATTAAACGGCGTGCTGGTTGGGCGGCATCTTCAACATCACGTTTCCAAGCAAATAGTCCAATCAGACAGCCTATTTTTATGATGTACGTGGTTGTTGAGAATTTCAGCGTACGTTCTGTTTATTTTGAACCCCCCATTTGCCGCCTCTTTTCTCGTTGGTAACATTGCAGACATCTATGGTATGGATACCAGTGGCAAAAATAGGAAATGCCGTGTATTTTGATACCTTGCCTGAGGCTCCCGACTAGCTCATTCCTATGCACGGGCGCTGTGAGGGTTATGCAAAAGGCGTTGTTTACTTCAGAAAACACAATTTTATTGACATTTTGATAGGGGAGACACAGGAATAGCAGAAATCTTGAAGAGTTAAGGAATCAAATGGTACCAAAAACTCCCAAATTAATTTTTTTTTTAATGTTGTTTACTGTATTTTGACTTTGGCGTCATATTACATGGAACAGTCCCTTTGGGGACATTGCTGATCTAGTCCCAACAGGTCACATACTTACTAGCTTCATAGCATTAGCACTGTCTCGTCAGCTCCTTCTGAGTACAGAACTTTCATGGCAAGTACATGTAATATACCACAGTCATCTCATAGCTTCTAATTTTCATGTTGTTCTACCATTATTTGCCATACCTCTATCTTGAATGCTCTTTATCATTGGCCCAGGACAATCACATGACAGGGCAACATAATCACATCTCACACTCACAGTTGGACATCACATCAGCCAGTGTTGTATGATATTGCTTGCAGCATGCAAATGTGCATGTGTGCCAAGCAGTGTTCAGCATTATACAGGGATCACTAATCACCAATGTTCAAATATTTCTTGTCGCCTTTGCTTTTCCATAGATTAGGAAAATAAGTGGAAAACATCAAGACAGAGATATGACAACAATTGTTGCCTACTGTGATGTGGGGTATGGCATTTTGAGCACCCTGGGGTTTTCAAAATATCACATCCCACATCACAGCAGTCAACAAATGCCTGGAAATGACCTTTAATAAACAACTCACCATGGAAACATCAACATGAAACAGACAAAGCTCCCTCAAATTGCTTCCAAACAGCTGGAACACTCCTTGAGATGCTTCCTAAATTTCTTTTACCTAAAATTCTTTTGAGCAGGAATAGCTTCCAAAGGAAGAGTGTTTCAACTGAGTCTGAGCATTCCTAGGGCAAGATGATCCAGACGTGAACATTTTTCCTTTTTTTTTTTTGAACTTAGAAACAGCAGAAGGCAATTTGTGACAGTGGCAAGAACCAGCTATCCTCTCTAGTGTGGATAGGCACCACGGCTCATGACGCCAGCAAGGTGACCGTGATTGATGCTAACCAGCCCCAGGTGTTGCTGGATTCCTTCCCTGTCAAGAACCCCCACATCCTGTGCATTGCCAGCGTCCCAGGTATGTGATGCTGGTGAGAGAGAAAACACCTCGTATTATGGAGTTTTATGGTGTTCCTTTCCATTATTTCTCATTGTGAATAGCACACTGATGCATAATTTCTCTTCTGCAGTAGTATGCCAAATCTTTGAATCAAGACAGTGTACTGAAATGCTGACACTTAAAGGATCCATCCAATGAGTTTTCTCAGATTCTTATTTTGCGCATCATTATACTCTTCTTCAAAACGTTGGAAAGCCTTTTGCAGTTGAGTGTACTGGAAAGAAAATTTACTCCTTCAAAATAAAAAAAAAAATTCCAGCTATTTTTGTGTACATATCAGTGTAACATGGAGATTCAGTGCCTTGGCAAGCATCACAGTTTTGCCTATGAATATGCAGTTTCACATCAGCATACAAACCCCCAAAGCTCCAAATACAGATTGAAATAGCAAAACAACATTTTCTAAAAGGTTAATTGTAACAAAGGTGCAATTTCAAGGGTTTTAGAAAATCATTGTATTGCATGGTTCCTTTAATTCGGTGAATAGGGCTTCATGCTTTTTAGTTTTGTGAATTTTCAATTTTCAAATCTTGTTGACGGTTTCTTTGCCCAGAATTCTAGAAGGTTCCCTAAACACATCCTGGTGAAACTGTCAGGAATATTTTTAGCTTTGCAAGAACCTGTCAGGAACTCCCTCTAGTTCTACCATTTCTTTTGTATACTTTTTAATCTCTTCTCTTCTGTCTCCTGTTGGTCATTGCATACATCAGTTGTTCAAAGAAAGGGCAGGATTCCAAGATTTGTAATTTTGATGAGTATTGTTTTGTGACCAGGAGCAATGGAAAGCGATTATCCATCTGAAGACATTGAAGCAGCTGATGACACAGCATCAGTCAACTCGGTCACCAGTAATGGCAGCGACAGTGGCTTTGGTAACATCACCTTGGTAACCGTCAGTGTTCCTGTCACACCCAGGAGCTCAACGCCTAACTCTGAAAAGGGTGAGAAAAAAGTGGCTGTGACATTGAGCTGGCCTTAAAATTAGCCCCGGTTCACTTCAAAAGTTTCAAATAAAAATATCTGTGACAAACTTAACAAAAATAGAAGACTGTGTGTGTAGGAAACAGAGTACAGGACTCTCACATATTTTCCTATACCTTTGAAAACGAAAGAAAGTAGTACAAAAAGAAAAATGTAATGAAGAGGGAAAGAAATAAGGACAATACCAGTGCCCTTTCATTAAAGAAAAGTGACATACAAAAACCAATTTGGACCTTCTCCTGACCCTGTGCCTTTCTAGGCGACACCAACCATGGTGAAGAAGGCACTGAATTCAAAGCAGAAGTGGGCGATGCCAAGTTCTCCAACATTGCCTCAGTGGAAGATGCAGAGCAGTCCATCACCAAGGCTGCCACCACGGCCCCCTTGGCCGACACCGTCGGGATGGAGGGAATCGTTCGGGAGGACCACTTTGGCAGGGGCAACTCAACCTCAAGTGCAGACTCAGGTTAGTAATTAGACAGACTAGTTTACATAGCTCCAATCTCAAAGTCCATTGATCTTGTGATTTTTCTTTTCTGTTGCAATCTAGAGCACTCTCTTCACAAAAAAATACCACAGAGCTCCAGTAAAGCTGCCAAATCCTCTTCATATTTCATGCAAAATTTCAGAGCAGAGCATGGTGTAGATGTGATGTCATTATACAGGAGTATTAAGTCCTGCATCAGCAGTTCAAGGGATTGAATTCTCAACTTACTTGTCAGGGTCCACTTTGATATGTTCCTGATTGTAAAAATAGATGTGACAATGAAACTATGAATATTGACCAAACGTTGAATGGTATATGAACTTGGCTTAAGATAAAATTGCCAAAAGGTGGAAGACAGCATGCACGTAATGCCATCTGTAAGCCAAACCATGCTTAACTTCACACCTACAATTTACTACTCACTGAAAGATCTTAACTGCATGGTAATTTTTCCAGAGCACTCCGGTGACCCCCTAGGTGTGACCTCTGACCCCATTCCACTGGAGATCATGCGACACCGGTCCAGCACAACTGGGGCCAGTGACCTGCTGAAGGACGGGCTGTCCAGTGCCCCGACCGAGAACGACGTCATGCACGAAGAGTTTGAGAAGATGACTAGCATTAAGCCCACAATGTGGCTGGGGGCACAGGATGGATGGTACGTGACAGGGTTTGTCACCATGTGTGGCACTAGGCATGTCACACTGTCTCTTGGGTGTTATATGCTAGTTGGGTTTTTGTTTACCTCATCGATAGATGGTGTTTTGTTAAGACATTCTGCATGACCTTAAACTTCTGGAAAGTTCTGCCTTACTTTTTAGTTTTATGCAATTTATAATTGATATTCCCTTTTTCAGTTTTACTTGTTGCTAGTCCAGAATTAGTTTGTCAGTTATAAACTAAATCAAATGTATTTCATCTCAAGTGGCCCATCATTTTGTTTTTGTTTTTCATAGTCTCTATGTCCATTCAGCCGTGTCCCAATGGCGGAGGTGTCTGCATTCAATCAAACTCAAGGATTCTATCTTATCAATAGTGTGAGTACAAGGAATATCATTAAGAAAAAACAATTATAAAACTGCACTCTGTAGAGAACGCACTTTTCCTTGTTTATAATGCCTCTTTGTGTTGTGATATAGCTAGCTGTGAAAAGACATGTAAATGTTGGGTGAAAATGGAGTTGAGAGGTGTGAGCACGGAGGTCTTGAGATTTCTTCTTAGCAGTCACATATTCCTGGTTTTTTAGGCATTTGTTAAGAATGAACATCCCTGTAAAGTTGAGCTCTTGCCTCTATTACCACAGTTCTTGTGACCGTCATTTGTAGTGTGGCATTAAGTTTCTTTTTCTTGTTCAGCCTTAAGACTCATCCGACAACCAGAATTGAAAGCCATTATTTGGGTGGCACCACACTGTGCACAGGTGGTTCATGGCGTTACATGCTCCTGCTGCATGCATCAAAGTTAACAATGTGCATAAGTGTGGTACCATCACTGTCATGCCATCATCTCAGATTATACAAAAATGTGTTAACAAACTATCTCGAATGGTTAAAACATATGGACTGCAGGACTTCCAAAGCACCTAACCAATGTTTTCTGTTCACCTGTTGGTATTGCTGCTTTTTGGATGGCTGTAGGTAGTTTTCCTTGTTCAGTTGAAAAAGAAAGTAATTAAGGTTTGGTATTGTTTGTTTAGGCACACCAAGGGCCGTGTTCTGGCAGCCCTGGCCAATGGCACAATAGCAGTCTTCCACAGATCAGCAGGTCAGTTAGCTCAAATATTCTGTTTACTGTCCTCTGTGGATTCAAAGTTTGTCCTTGCCCAGTTATGGAAGTATTCATCTCTTTTTCTGGCCAGTTATCATGGAACTTCAGTTAAGAGGAAAAGAAATATTCAGAGGGACAAACACTAGACCAAGGCTAAGTTTTGGCGGCTTGTTCTTGTATGTTCATGAACAGTAGTTAGTGGCAAGCAACATACGACATGACAGCATCCACGTGCATTATTGAAGGGTTAATGATTAGTTAAGGGTTCATGTTAACATTCTGAGCTGCCTTGTTTCCTATTTAAAAAGGAACATTTGTGTCTATGCTATCGATTATTTTTAATATTACAAAAATTTTCCATCATCTCCAGCTTTGTTGACCATGTCATTCCTTGTGTGGCTCTTCAAAAATCAAAACCCTGCGCATTTTTTCCATGCGTTGTGCAAAACCCTGACTAGGAAGTGGTGTTTGATCTTCTTCCAAAAGCAGTGTTCTTGGGTCATGCTCCCGCCATTTGTGTGCAAAAACAGTATCCATTCCAAAAACAGGCTGCCCAAACTCAGCCAGAGTGTAATGTCAAAATTGTCTGCTGCCCTCTGTAGTTTTAGTTTCCCAGATCATACATACGAACTGAAATTACGTACATACTAACACGTAATGTACTGAACCTTAACTATAAACCATCAACCAAATCTTTCTCAAAATCCAATTTGATAAATATTTGTGGAAGACTAAAGAAGATGAATTAGTTTTGTACCTGGGGACTGGAGAAATGGTCAAATAATTCTATTCATATCCAGTGGTCACATTGTAAAATTCACCATGGTCAGCTATCTTTGACCAAAAAAAAATGACATTTATTTCTGTTGCCTATAGATGGTCAATGGGACCTGAGCAATTACCACATTCTGGACCTTGGCCGTCCTCAATACTCCATACGATGCATGGTCCTGGTGTATGACAGGATCTGGTGTGGTCTCAGGAATAAAGTGCACGTCATACATCCACAGACTCTTAAAGTTGAGGTGAGGCCATAGTAGATGAATGGAGTACTTCAACATGTCTGGAGCAGATATCTGGCTTTCAGGAAGTTGCAGTTGTTAAATCGTTACGCTTTCGTCATGTTAGCGTTATTTCTCTCTGCATGAGGGTATTGTCTCACTATTGTTGAATAGTGTCGCACCAAAGAAGATCTTCACAGAAAGCCTGGATATAATATATTGCCACAACCAGCAACCAGCCATCTTTCTCTACCCATAGAACTTCCCAGAAAAGTAGCAGTCCTCATTTAAGTGAGGACGTGCCAACACCTCCGATTCGGGTTCCAAGAAAATATGTGAAGCTGTTGGGTTTTTCTTTTTTAAGGAATACCAAAAGTAAACATGAATAGCAGAAACTTAATTGTGTCAGTACTAGAGTATCTTACATTCATCCAGCTTTAGTGTCAGTTTGCAAACACCCAGACAAATGCTAGCAGGCCCAGTGGTTGAATGGCTGAAATACCTGTTCCATTATCTTGCTGGTCCTGGGTTCGAATCTCCACTGTGAGCATGTTGGGTTTCTTCATAGGCCCTTACAACGCATAATTGTTGTTAAACTTACCCCTACGATGTATTAAACATGCTAAGGCTGTGTCCAAAATGGGCTTTCAGGGCTACGGCTAGGTCAATTGTCTGCGCATCTCCACGTATTTCCAGTGGAGCGAAGACCTAGACCTAGCTGTAGGCAACAGATTCAGACACAGCCTATATTGGATGATTTGATAACTGACAGGCTTTGTTAAAATTCCTGTGACTAGTTGTCTTAAGGTGTCTTTTTCCAACTTGTTAACAGCGATCATTTGATGCCCACCCCCGTAAGGAGAGCCAGGTGCGGCAGGTAGCCTGGCAAGGGGATGGGGTGTGGGTGTCCATCCGGCTGGACAGCACACTGCGCCTGTACCACGCGCACACCTACCAGCACCTGCAAGACGTGGACATTGAGCCCTATGTTAGCAAGATGCTGGGTGAGTTGTCTCCCTCTGCAGAGTATAGACACTGTGACCAGTCTGGATTGTTACCATATTTGGACGGCCCATTATGTCACAAATCTTGCTCAATCTGACCAGTCACCAGGCTTGTTCTAGCAGCCTGCCATGGATTGTATGGGTGTTTCCATGTTTCGGGGCGCTTTTTTTAAACATGGCAGCATATGGAACAAAACACTAATGAAAAATTTCAATTGCAAATTTGATTGGCTGTTCAAAAAACCTGACTACAGACATAAACTAGAAGTTCTAAAACACGTTTGTAACAATGGGATTTAAAATTTGTCGTTGCCAACTTGAGATATTAAAGTTGAATTTGGATAAATATTGCTGTATCAGTAGGGAAAGATGACTATGCCCATATGTGGTAATACCCTGGACTGATGACCTTGTCTCACAAATTCGTGTCTTGCATGATGTCAACTTCAGCCTGTCAGAAGGAATCGGTTGGAACAGTTGTGATTATAAATCCTCAATCTCAAATTCTGTCGCATGATAGGCTTAGAGCATATCACGTGGCATTTAAAAGACACCACTTATGTGATGGCACCTTATCCCACATGTGCATTTGTAGCCTTGGGGTGTGCGTGCATATCACAAATCATAGCACTTGATGGATTAAAGGGGACCATCTACATGCGAGAGTGGAGCCAAGGCCATTAAGGGCTTCAAATTGTGGTTGGCAGATTAATTTATCCTGGACTGCGCTATCCTGAAAAAGTACTGTACAAATAGTGAACTGAGCAAGGAACCATACACTTGCATGCTGTGCAAAGTTTTCTAACCAACAGCAGAGTTGGTTGGAAACATTGTCATTGAAGGAAATGTGTGGTTTGAATGTTTATATCATGTCGAATCATGTCAAATTTTGAAGTGGAGGCATACAACTTTCTTTCCTCCGGTCAGCTGATTTTTTGTTTTTACTTCCAATGTGATTATTGCAAACCAATAAAAGGTGTAAAAATTGGCGTAACTTTGAACCATGCATAAGCAACTTTAAGAAATTATTAAGCTTTGTGCCTCAAATTTATGCTGTAGCTCTGCAAGTTACTTATGTTTGATTTCACAAAAAGTTGGAAGAGGATGAGAACAGCATTGAGGATGGCTGTTCCTTTTCAATATCACAACAGTGATCTGACGGTCGTTGAATCCCCTCCGCCTGTCATTTTGTAAAAGTTTTTGTCTTTTCTCTTCAGAAAATCTCACAGTTCCCTCACAGCCAAACAAGTTTTTCATTACCTTTACAACAAAGTTGTACGTTTCTTGTATAAGTCTTGTTAAGTTCAGCAATGATGAGTCTTAACCAAACACGATAAGCCAGTCAAATCATTCATTTTCACTTCCTTTGGCACAACTTACACCACCTAAAATGACTGCGTAAGTTAAGCCGTAATTTGTTGTGTAAGTTGTAGACTTCAGCAGTGCATATATTTCATGAAATTGCTCCTAATTTGTTGCGCAACTTAAAATGTGGCATAAGTGGAGTGGAGTGCCGACTTGTAGACCAATGAAAACCAACACTCTATTGATGATCTTTGAAGCATTTTATTACCCCATAGCTTTACTTTAGGAAACAACACTTTGAAGAGCAATCAAAGCAGGTTATATTTTATCTTATTGATGTTAGTGATAATTGTAGTCTTGCACCTGTTTTCAGGCACTGGAAAGTTAGGTTTCTCCTTTGTACGCATCACTGCCCTGATGATAGCCTGCAACCGGCTATGGGTGGGTACCGGCAATGGTGTCATCATCTCCATACCGCTCACAGAAAGTAAGTCGATTCACTAACGTGTCTGCTCTTCATTCACTTGGATGTCGTAAGTCGGTTTGTGTTTTGCTTGAAGAACAACTGGGAAATCATTCCATGTGAACAAAGGGGGATGCTTTGTTACCTAAATACCTAGGCTGTGTCTAAATCAATTGCTACAGCCACTCCTCAAGGAGTCGTTTGTAATCTCAAGCCGCTGCCAAGGCAATGTGGACAGTGCCCAAACAGCGACATCCTGCAGGGCCAACTTTCCCTGAACACACATACTTGTTCTGTTGTTTGCAGGGACATACACTTGTCATTACACTGATTTCATGTGGACCAAAAATGTTGTTGGGACAGTGAAATGTCCCCATAACTTGCTCCTAATTTGCCTGTCACAATACCCCCCCCATAATGTGGTGATGACCCACACACACACGGTATAGTACCCACACTATGAATGTGTGCAAACCATTGTAGGTCCGGCATAGCCTCTCTTGTTACAGCCACTGAGGGGTGCTTGCAAGGGGAGTTCACAGGGACACAAAAAGCATTTTACCCAGTTACTCGTTTTTGACATCAATTCAAAAATTTTTTACTCATAAAACTCAGTGAGATCAGTTTTATGTACAAAACTCAGCGAGATCAGTTCCAACTGCAACAAGAGTCTTGTGTGGTGTCGTCGTGGTTTTGCCTGTGATGAAGTGCATTGCGATTGACCCAAGACCCTATTTGAACATGTTTGACTGAGTAATCTGCCCTTCCGTTGCCTAGCAACAAAGCCTACCCCGACAGGAGGCAGCAGGCCAGGCGGCGTCATCAGGGTCTACTCCGACAGCAAGTCAGACAATGTCCGTCCCGGCAACATCATACCGTTCTGCAGCATCACCCAGGCACAGCTGTCCTTCCACGGTCACAGGGACGCGGTCAAGTTCTTTGTGGCTGTACCAGGTGAGACACTATCAACCCCACCCTTACGCTTAACCCCCACCCCAGTGCCCCTCTGAAACTACTGTTCAGGAAACCAATCCTAAAAGTTGGCATTTGATGGTGATGATTGGTCATGTTTGCTCTGCCAGTATCCCTGTACATTGAGTTGTACAAGTGCACTGAAGTCACGTGTTGTAGTATACACCACTCAAAAAAGTAAAGGACCACTTTTTTCTTAACTTGTAATTTTTTTCCAAGCAATGAGTGGGGTCTAGTTCTTTCATTTTATGTTTGTCTTGATGGTGTTCTCATTGGAATAAAAATTTTAAAAATGTTTCAAAACATCAAATGCACATTTTTAGTGGTAAAATGTCTCATATAAAAAGTACACACAAAATAAAAACTTTCTGGAGTAGTCAAAACTGCTTTGGAAGTTCGTGACAGACGGTGCATTATGTACAGAGTACCAGGGATCAGTCACATGAAGCTTCTCTACTGACAATACTGCTCAAATTCAATGCTCAGAGGAAAAAAATGGCTGTGAACCAGTCAGAGCCATACAGGTCCTGTGGTATTTCAGCCGGTAATTCATTTTTGTTAAGCAAGACTTCCATTCGCTCAGTGCATTGAAGAAATTGTCCCTTTGTCTCCTGAAGAGCTCACTAACATGCCTTATTTTCATTTCTGTACTAACACACCGTCAGTAAAAAGTACCCTTTTTTATCCAAGAACCCTCTTTGCCCTCAGGCACAGCAGGTGGAGTCAGTGCCTCCAGCTCTAGTTCTTCGCTGGACGTCGCCCAGAGCAAGCCAGCCACAGACAGGGCTGCCATCAAGAACATGCTGGTCATGAGTGGAGGAGAGGGCTACATTGACTTCAGGGCAGGTCAGTTATCAGGATCACTTTCCGCCTTAGCTGAGTGCTGGGTGTGTGGGATAGAACCTCTGTGGTGAGAAAATAGCTGAAAGAGCGTCCGTATTCCTGATACCCGTCAGGAATCTCCTGATACCCGTCAGGAATCTCCTGATACCCGTCAGGAATCTCCTGATACCCGTCAGGAATCTCCTGATACCCGTCAGGAATCTCCTGATACCCGTCAGGAATCTCCTGATACTTTTACACTTGCCAGCGCAGCCTTTCACAGAAGGGAAGTTCACCTTTTAATTGAACATTCAAAGATAACAACTTACCTGAAACAACTGATTCAATCCTGGTAATAATTTGTTGTGAGTCCTAAAGCACAGGGCTGGACTTTTCACAAGGAATTCAGATCTTAAAAAAAGGCTTCAATGTTGGCTTTTGTGACTGTTCTGAAGGAAGGTACTCGGTTTCTGAAAAACACTCAAATCATCAGAAAAGTGCCCTATTCAGCCATGTGCACCTCATATTAACTACACTTCTCTCTTCCAAAGCACCATGCTTTTTTGCAGATTCTGTTGAAACTTTGTCTTGTGTTTTGCCCGTTGTGAATTTTTTATTTAGGTGACGGAGATGAGGAAGATGAGAGCGCAGCAAGCAACAACTACGGTGATGATCTCACCAACTCCTCCCGGGCAGCACGGAATGAGAGGAGTCACTTGATTGTCTGGCAGGTGTCAGGGGTCGCCGAGTGAAGACATGCCCACCAGTAGGGCCCAGAAGCTAGACGGGGCTGAGGGGAGCCTAGACCGAGGCTTATCAGAAGGGCAGCGGCAATTGTAATTTAAGGCTGCCCTCAACTGATCAAGCAGGAAGCTGATAACCCAAACTGTGGCATTGTTACAACCAAAGATGTTGTTTTTATTTTTGGGGGGGGGGTAATCATTGATTAACAGTCATCAATCCCCTAGTCACAGTAAAGGGCTTGTCACTCAACATTTCTCCAAATCCAGACACAACTATCCTGACTTCGTTCTGACTCCATCTCACATTGTTTGTGAGTTGTCTAGATGTATGCAAAGCAACAAATGTTTTTTGCACTAAATCGTGGGATTCACATGGAAATATAAAGACCACTTATCTACAAGGAACTGCTACGTTAAACCAGTCACAGAATTGTGCATTAATCTGCCTATAATGTGTCTTGCAACCATCCATAAATTCAAGTGAAATTATGTTTTTGAAAATGCAGCAAGAATTAAGTAAATCTTGAGAATTTAAACATTGAACAAAACCTCAAATAGATAGGAAAAGCTACAAGACAGTTTTGCAAGTGTTAAATGTAATGTGCATATTGCCGAGCCTAAAGAAAAGTCGTTACTTTACTGCCAAAAAAAACGTAAGAAGTGTAAATAGATGTAAAATAGCTAATCCATAATCGTTTACAGTCGTTCTTATCTTGAATTGAAACATTACACTTTGAAATGAAAAGGGAAAAGTTAATTAGGTTTTTCATCTTTGCACTTCATGCGTGACAATCGGAGAGGAATTTTTTGTCATGATTTAATAGATGTTAGATCTTCCCACGTTTGAGCAAGTCCATTTTTCACTGGCCAGAATAATTTATAAACACGCGTCCCTTTTAGTCACCCAATAAACTGTTTCCAAAGTTAAGACATATCAAAAGAATGGAGGACTACAGTTTTCTTCAGCATTTCAGCTATTGTCCTTGCAAGCACCGTCTACAGCCTCATCTGAAGATGTGCCATGGGGGCCTGGATAAAGACTACTTGTCTGCCTCGTTGTTTGTCCACCATATCTCTCTGTCAGCTTCTTGCTTAATCTCTGTACCTTCCTCCATCCTCAAAGTCCTGTAGTGTTTTTGGCAGTTGTTAGGTATCTCTCATTGTCCTCTCTGGTAAATCTTTTTTTGGAGTTAAGTTTTAAGAAAGATGTTTCGAATTAGATTCTTGCCTGCATGCCACTACCAATGCTTGTACATAATCTTAATGGTGCATTGCATGTAAATACTACCAGTTTTAGTCCACAAAAAAAACCAATTCCTTGGGGCGTATTTGTTTTGAGTGGTTGATTTTAATCAGTATTAGCTGCCACATATCTAAAATTTTAATATTGGCCTCTTGGTGTGTGGTTTTGAAATATTGAAAATGATGAGTTGGCATTGAGTTTCTTTTAGAAATTATTTGGTATTGAACTGTGTATGTTGTATATGAGGGACCCAATACTTGTAAGCAGTAATCAAGTGTGCTTCTCAGCAATGGGTCAAATTTTTTGAGAAAGAAAGCTACTCCCAGACGACACATTAGACGTCTTATCCTTAATCTATGATGGCAACACCAGTTACTCATTGATATTTGCACCAACTGCCACTCTAGGGTAAACATCCAACTGATTTCCTTCTGAAATTGTTTTTGAGTAATCAGGCTTCCAGGACTCAATTTATGGATTGCTTGTGTGACCGAGAGAGACTGTTTTGTTTCAAGCGGTGATGTTCGATGGAGCCAGTACTTGGCTTTGTCGTAGTGTCCTGTGGAAGCTTAGAAAACAGTGATTGCTGTCTGATTCACCCAAATAGACTGTAATTTTTGCCTTGGTTGGTCATTCACAATGATGTACCTCAGCAACAGTGGCTTCTCTGAGGCACATTGGTTAAAACAGTACCAGAAATTGCTCGAGACAGCGGTTCTCTTATGGCCAAGTTAAGAACTGTAGCCGTGCCACCTGTCAGGCTAATAGCATAGAGGTGTTGGATTACCAGCTAGATGTGCAACACGAACTGTGAGCAAACTACCAGTTAGATGTCAAGGCGCCAGCTGGAATGGAATGCGTTTCCTTTCTTTCTTTCTTTCTTTTTTTTCTCTTTTTTTTTTGGGCTGGTCAGCTCTTCTGAACACAGAATTGATACCTGATGTAAGGTGACTCTTTGACTCCTGACTGACCATCTATTTCAGTTTGACTCAAGGCTGATGGTGAGGCCATGATCAGTCAAACAGAGTGAAGCTGTCTTGTGACCTGTATCACTTCCTTAGTTTCCTGTGGCAGATTCCTGTCTTCTGACCAGCTGAGCCGTTGTATGACTTGCTCCAAAGTCTTCTGAATAAGATTGGTAATACCTCGGGTGGTGTAGTCTGACATCTAATACACTTAGATTAAATTAGGCTGTTACTGTTAGCCATGGTACTTAATTAAGAAAATTGAATAGTTTTTAGCCCTTCAGGAAAGGGGGCTGGGAGGTGATGACTGTTCTGGTTGGAATGGTTTGATCATATTAGTTCCCATACCTTTGAGTCAGATTCAACTTTGTTTATGGCAAAATGTTTGTTTTAGGCCAAAGATGACAGGGGAAAACAGCTAAAAAAAATCTGTAATACTAAGATTGTAATCACTTTATATCCACGATGTATCCCCTACGTCAGACAGTGCATAGTACACTGTACACTATCTACCCAGTTTGTTTTAATGGTCAATCATTCTTTTACACATAGAGCTTGTTGTCACGGATTTAAATCGGTTTGTTGTAATTTGGATTTGGAATGAAATACAAAACTTGTGCAATGATGTATAAAAAAAGTAGCAATGGGGGGTACATTCAGGGTGAGGGATCAACTTGGTTTCAGAGCTCAGTGAGTTTTTATCCGAGATTTTCTCCAGTGTTTGCCAGGTGATTACAGTAAGCATACCAGGAGCCAAGCAACCCCAGCTGCTCTAATATTCAGTTAGAATTTTACAGTGTTTATCTTACTTTTTGTGTGTATATGTTGGGGATGGATTTCTAACTGTCAGAAGTTTAAAGATGAGGACAACCGTTCTTGTTGTACCCCCTTAAAATGGCAACTTTGTGTGGGGGAGGGGGGCTACACAAAAGTTCTGTTCGATGTCATTTGTTCTAAATCAGCTTGTTGAAAGCTTTGCTCTGAAGTTAGCCCCATGTACATGCATAATTATTGCCTCATATCATCTGAGAAAAGTGCGAGTTCAAAGTTTGGGTAGCCTTTAGGGGCGAGTGCTTAAAGGGTTCTACAATTTTCAGTGTACATGGCACATTTGTGTGGTTCATTGATTAGAACAGTTTCTAATTTGGAGGTGACAGTTGAACTAACATTTGCAGAATCTTACAGTGTTGAGAAATTTGTCACACTCGCATTCTGAAGGAAAGTAACAATATTGTTATAGTTGCTTAGACTGTTTAATTTGAATAAACTGTGAATACTTTTTATTTATTTTTTATTACTTTGTGGTTTTGATTCAGTTGTAAATTGTAAGTTATAACCACTACTAACACAAAGTATTGCATTTAAGTGCTGTGTATATATCTCGCATGAATATATTAATTTTGAAGATAATAGGTGTTTTAAATAACCCAAGACTGATTTTCAGTAGACTATTCTTTTGTAGACTAGGCCACTTAAATTTATAATTCATATATATTGTGGTTTGAAGCTGAGTCTTAAAACAAGTTTTATTGGTCAAAGTGGTTCTTTTTAGTGGCCTTTATGCTTGTAATGAATACTTGTTACATCTTCGCTCGCCACATCTCATTGATTACCAGTACGTGTACATTGCTTCCTCAGAGTCGTCAGGTTTTCCGCCGTAAGCTGGTGAGGCACATCCCTGCTGTTACCTTATTTTTTTTTTAGTGGCTTGTTTTTATGAATGTTATTGAATAAACAACGAGCATTTCACTGTGATGAAGTTTGTTGCAAGCTCCTTGTGTCGTCCAATTCAGTCCGTTCGTGCTTCCTGGCCCAAACAAAATAAACCCCAAAAATAGAAACAACCCCCTCCCAATAAAATCAGTTTTCCAGTGTCCCGGTGAGTTGCGCAGATGTGCACGAATTTCGACCAAAGGCACTGGTGAAACTCTTAACATTTTAAAGGTTCATAAAAGAAGTGGAAATACGCGTCATGATCATTCGAGTTATGCTTAGCAGTATGTACAAGTCATCAGGAATTGTGTTTCACGAGACACTCCTCATAATTCTTTCGTGTTTCTACCGGGAGCAATTTTTTCCTGGGGTGAGCCGTCCTGAGCCGGGTCAGCACACAGCGGACCGGGTACTGGCGTCAGACCTACTGTACATTGCTGTTGCCATTTCGGAGTCTTCTCTCTTTAACCAGCGCCTGTCTTAGGCGGTGATTTCCCCTGAGGACCAGGAGGTGACTACTATGGCCAAATCGAGGAGTTTGCTTTCCTGTTCAACAGCAAAAACCTTGTACAATTATGTTAATCTTCAAAACAAGAAATCAGAGGATAAATAATAACCGTCCCGAGGACGTAAAGTGAAAAAAAAAACTGTGCGGAACAAAACAAACACGCCCGTGTTATTTTACAACACAGATCCCTGTGCAATGAAGAAAAAAAAACTGCACCAAAAAGGGAAAAACATGTTTGCTACTTCACGGTATAGCGAGCGCCGGCATCCATAACAGTATCAATTTTTTATGATGCTGCAAAATGCCGGGGCTACTGCAATTACCTTCCAACAGCCCAACCGGGCGCGAAGGCATGAACATGAAAGACTCTCTCACAAGTTCGTATACAGATCGGCGCTCTCTCACTGTACAGGGGCACAAATAGGCGCCTTGAGAGAGTAGTACGCCCTCTGTATTCTGGGGCACTTTAGGACCAATGTGCCAGCAGTACAAGATCGAGGCGCACTGCACTAGACGTACAATCGTCGCCAAGTCCATATCAACGGAGCGGGTAACTTCATGGGTGAGGCGAATGCGAGCCTTGGTTCTGAGCCTCAAAGGCACCTTTTCTCCCGTGCAGAGAAGGAGGCTGAGCTGGCCATAGCCACAGTAACCAGGAGCAAGATGTGGTCCCACAGGACTCGAGCAGCAATGCCAGTGGATGCCTGTGATCACAGCATCGAGGCTGTTGTGGAACGCGGAACTGAAAATTGAAGGTACAGATCGGTAGGCCTACACCATGTATTGTAAACACCAGGACGAGTACGAGCGTTGCTCCATGCTTGAAGTAACACAAGACATGCATGCTACATGTAGATGACTAGTTTGACTTTTTTGTCATGTTTCCGACACAGGTCTCGACGGCCCACCTTTGCTGTCGTTTTACATGACAACTGAGTCACACGTGATTGCGTTTTGCGGTGTTTGGACTAGGCTGCCTGTGAGACATGAGTTCGTGTTTTAAATTTTACGTGCATATTTTACGGCAACTACTGAACTAGGACTAACGTTAGGCCTAGTAAATATTTAGGCCTGTTACTGATTACTAGGCCTAAAAATACCCCAACTTCATCACAAGTGATATCAATCATCAATATGATCAAGGACCTACAGGCCTAGGCCTATATGCAACTTTCACAATTTTCTATTCCAGCATGTCAAGGTTAGTTTGAGGGGAAGAATTCCATATTAGATTGTTCAAAGCATTAAACACTAACACGGAGTGCCTGTTGATGGATTGAATTGGCTAAATTTAACTAAATTTACTAATTTAGCATGTTTAGCTGACTACAAGTAGACAGTGCTCACTTTAATGTATACACCCAAGTAAGCCTACAAAACTGTTACCACCAGATTCCAAGTAGTGTCTGTAGTCTAGTGGACTGTGCTCTGTCTTGAGAGCTTATGTAAAGTGCTCAGGTCAACTCGGACCCATTCCAACTCGGACCCATGCCAACTCGGACCCAAGACCAACTCGGACCCACGCCAACTCGGACCCAATACTAACTTGGACCCACTACAATCTTGGACCCACAACCAACTCAGACCCACCCCAACTCGGACCCACCTCGAGTCAACTCAGCCCCACGGAGTCTTATGGTTGCACTACACCAAATATGCGCCCATAGACTGAAATAGCACCAACTATTGAACCTCTCAAAGAGGATGGCCTTCATTTTTTCACTGGAATTTCAAGATAATTTTTTTTCGCTGGAAATTCAAGATAGGGCCAGATCGATCTCTTTTCGTTTCAATTTTATGAATTTTTTTTTATTCGCCTTTTCCCGAAGATACCCCCCTAATAGTAGCAAAACTATGTGCTCAGCTCTGAATGTAGTTGCCCGTCTCTATCCAAAATAGGCCCGCAATGTGGGGCTTTTTGTGAAAGAAATACTCTGAACTGGAAACTATCAATCCCAAATTCTGGATTTATATTAAATAATTCTATAATCCCTCGTGATTATAGCACGTCTTATTGTAAAAAAAAAAGTGGGATCACAAAATAATAATGAGCTCGCGATCAGAAATACGACGCTTCAAAACCGTCTCCAAGTTTAAGCCTATAGGAAATATTCCACATTTTTATTTTAAAATGATTTGATTTGTGTTGTTTGAAATTACCAACCTATTTGCGTTATTTGGACAGTCAGTTAAGGCCTGTATGGATGAATTCCTCCATCTGCCTAAATCTTGCCGGTATTGGGAGGGGGGGGGGGTTGGGGCAAGGTGGAGGTGTAAGACTTGCCTGGCCAAAAAAAATTGAAAAGTGAGGTGGGGGATAACACCATTAGACACTATTAAAGGTCAATTTTTGTGACATTGATGTGTATCTGCAGTATCTGTTGTACGTATGCAGCATCTCTTATGTACATCAGAAGGGCCTATCTTTGGCTTTTTATTGCAACAAAAACTTTGAGGGCTGTTCGGTGAAAGTTCATTCGATTTCTGCTGGTGATCTGGAGTGCCAAAAAAACTTCAGAGAAAGGGCATCAATGATTTGGTGCTGTCAATCACACTCCAAAAGCTGCTCCCATTGGTTGTCCCAAGCTCCCACTCCCCAATCATATGGTTTCAAGAATGGAAGGTGACAAAATCAGTCTTTGTGGTTAATCACGCCGGTACCTTGGAAGCTAATAACCGATTGAGATTCCAGATTACAAGCGGCAAATAAGACATCAAAGGAAATGTGCCTCCATAAAAATACGACGCTCGTCGGTTACTTCTCACTTCCAAGACATCACTGATATTAAATCTAGTCCTGTACGGTTTTCAACCACCATGCCTGTTCAAACTTGTAAACTGAGAAATTCGGGGAAGTCTGTGCCACTGTTTCCCTGCATTATGTGTAGAGAGGACGTTACATCTCGGCAGCATGCAGTGCAAAAGTGTCATTTACCAAATGCTAAAATGAAAAAGTGGACAAAACAACATTTTCAACAAGTTAATCACACTCCTGGGGTTGGGTCTGAGTTGACTAAGGGTGGGTCCGAGTTGGTCGTAGGTCCGAGTTAGTATCGGGTCGGAGTTGGTTGTGGGTCCGAGTTGGTCGTTGGTCCGGGTTAGTATTGGGTCCGAGTTGGTTGTGGGTCTGAGTTGGCATGGGTCCGAGTTGGTTTGGGTCCGAGTTGACTCGAAACCCTCCCAGCTAAGTTCAATTCCAAGCTGTAAGCCTTATCGCAAATACTGCATGGGTGATTTTGTACAATGATAGAAAGGCATTGTGGGAAGAAAAAAGGAGCAAACATTGCCCCTTTTTCCTTCCCACAATGCCTTTCTATCATTGCACAAAATCACCCATGCAGGATTTGCAATAAGGCTTATTGACTTTGGAAAGAGTTCTATAAATGGCCACTTGACACCCTGTGCACAAACCCTATGAAACTGATCTGGAAACCGTTAAGTGTTTTCTAAGTAAATGCTGCAACATTTTCACTGCTAAAATGTATGTTATCACTTTCTGATGGCTAATAAACTATTGCACAGGAAATTCAGTGGTGTCCATATATGGAACTCTTACCCCGCCTTTTTTTGTCACAACAATAAAAACATTCTTCTTTTTCTCCATTATTTAATTACAGAGTAACTTTATTTTTCTGATTCATGGCTCTGGAGGATTTTTTTAGGGAAATAGTCTGAAAATGTAAAATGGTCTGATTCCCACCTTGTGAGTGTACGCTGTAAAGTCACAATGACTACATGTATGTACATGTATGTATGTTGGCACAGAACCAGACTAAAATTTGTCACAAAAAAGAGTTTGAAGTCCCCAACACAGTTACTGTGCATCTGTCTGGCTAAATATCGTTTAGTCAAATTAGCCAGCCATGGCTAAATACATTCTGCCTAATTTGTTTTGAATTTAGTGAGGAAAGGGAGCGAGCCCAAAAAGTGAGGTCAACTTGCAGGCGTTTACAGTACTCAAAAGTTGTGATGCTCGATAAATGGAATTCCTTCTGATACAGAGTGGAAAAAAGTAGGGGCACCTCAAATGAGGGTATTTACTCTTAGATGAAAAATGAAGCAGAATGTGATGCTGAGAATAAAGTAATGCACTAAGAACAGGGATTGGTTGGAACCAAATCTTAGTTCACACAGACGACCCAATAGCTGGTTACAATGCGGATATGAAGTCAGGGTGAATCCAAAACAAAACCATTTACTTTTGCTGCTGCGTGAGTTCCAAGATATTCTGCAACTGTGTGAATATTTTTCTTGTTGCTAATCAACAAGATATTAACAAACCTCCTCCTATTTTGGTCATTGCTGGTGAGTCCAGCGACACCAAAGTGGATATTTGCAGTTACTTTCTAGAAGTTGGGCAGGAAAGTACACTTTTTCATGTTTGACCATGGAATGTGTGATTGATTTTACCCAAGGCTGTATCCCCAACCAAATTTTCGGAAGGCCAAACTTTTTGGGGGGAGGGTGGAAGGGGCAAGAAATATGGATCTTTTTTCCTGTAATCTTTGATGGCCTTTCTGAGGGGTGATTTTGTGGTTGTGCGCGCACTTTGGGATGGGAGGAAAATGAAAACGACCCCCAAAATTGCATTTTTCTAAAATATGGAACTTGTTTAGCTCCTTTAAGGGAGCCATGGCCCCCATTGACTCCTTGTATATGTGCCCTTGGAAATACCAAGGTATTGAAACCACGAAACTTTGCACTTGTCAGGCACTCAATTATCTGGGGGGAAAAAGTGCAGCTGGCCTTCTACAATCATAATGGAAGTAACAGACTGAAAAAATGTGTTTCACAATATACATACATATGTATTAGTATTTACTGTGAGATTGGATACTGTCCATGAACAACATGTAACACACCCCTTTCTTGTTTGTTTCACACGTAAGTTTTCTGACAAACACTTTTGAAGTAGTTGTGTCATGTTCGTGAACTATCTTGAACAAGAATGGTGTGTGTGGGTTTTCCCATTTCTCCCCTCCCATTTACATTTCACCCTTCCTGACCACTAATCATTGGGACCTTTTGAGGCTTGCTTTTCAGTGGAATTTGAAATATTTGTCAACCCCAATTTTTTTTTACGTATTTTCATAGAAGTTATTGTTTGGAAAAATGCAGCTGTAGGAAACAGGGTACCGCAAATTGTTCCAAACAGTACAACAGGTGCATTCCACACTGGTCTGATTGTGGTTGTAATTGTCAGACAAGCTTTACTGAACTTCCCCTTCCTTGCTGTGATTTGTACTTGATTGTACCTGTACGTTCTAAAAAGATGCAAACTGCAATGAACTCTTTGACTTTTTCATGGCTGAGCAAAGGAAAGACAATTTTCAATTGGCTGACAAGCTATATGACTATTGAATTTGACAGTGCCAACGCAACACAACACAGTTATTATTTTAGAGAAGAATTTAATGTAAATTTCATTTCAACCAACACAAGTTGGCCATCACCACTTGACAGTGTTTCCTTCTCTTGTATAGAATTGTAACGTCCTTTTGAAATTCTGCAACCAAGAATACTAGGTAGAATTCGACAGAATTTGTCAGATTTCTGACAGGCTGAAAGCCTGTCAGAAATCTTGAAATTCCCATTTGCTGGGACTTTCAGTCCCAGCAAATGGGAATCATTGTGGCTTATTGCCAAACAAGAATGAGTGAGGTGTCTCTAATCACCAGTATAACATGGTTAATACTCGGAAAGGAAGATACTGGCCTAGAAACTTAATAAGATCAAGCGGCGTGATTACTTGATGACTCTGAGTGGGCAAAGAGCATGATATGTGGTGCTCAGAAGTAGGAACAGGCTGAATTACATTTTCTGTGATTATGTAAACAAAAAACAAGGGTGTGTGGGATTTCCCCCACAAATGCCCTTTAGGATGCCTTTTTATCACGTGTTGTAACTTGATGTCAATCAGCCCGTCACATGGCTCCCTAAGAATGTGTGGCAGAGAAATTTATGCTGTTCATTTCCCACAGGGAGAGTTATGGTAAGATTTTCAGGAAATGAAAACTGATGCATACTGTATGTATAGTTTTTCATTGATTTGAGTCAGTGTTCTGTGCGTTGCAACCATATGAAATTGTACTGTCTGTCTATCAGTCATTTCTGGGGGACAAGGAAATGTGTTTGTGCAAACTTTTCTCAAAAGGGATAATTTTTGAAACATGATTAAATTTGTTGAAGTTCTTATAATACAGAAGAAAAATGGACTGCAATGGGCTCTGTGAAAGGTTGTGTTCAATCAGCTTGTTTGAATTTAGGTATAACTGTGATGTGTGTTTCTGCTCCTTTTATCAAGATTCATTTGTACACTGCATGTATGCCATGCCCCTGCATCCCTTGAAGAAAATGCCCAGCCCTAGGCTGTGGTATATTCACAGGCATTGTGCTGTGCTACCATGCCCCATGCTTAGCCTGAGTTTCTCATGGCCCTCTGTGGCAGAGTTACTGTGAAATCATCATCTGCTTTTCTGATCTCCAAGGGTTCATTAATGACCGATGGGCTGTGATACACCAAAAAGAGATCGGTATCATTACTAAATAGTGCATGATGTACATGTACGTACTGGTATGTTGAATCAGAAGAAGTATGTAAGTGCCTAGGCCAGCCATGGCTTACACTGATGTGTATGTTGATAGCTGAATATGCATGAGGTAAATGCAAATTTATGCAATGTAGGTATAGTAGATACAGTCAAGATGGTCAACTTGTTGCAAATCTACTGTAGGATGATATCATGACAAATAATTTGTCATTTTCACCTTGAAGTGACGTATAGGATAGTTTGGTGCACCATGAAGTGTCAGACCATCCATAGACTTTGTACACACGATACGTCAGTTTGTGGTGCAGCAACTATCTGGGATACCGGTATTTCAGTTAGTGATGCAAGCCACAAATTGTACATGGCTAGTTTCCAGATCTGTGTTGAAACTGAATGTTAGGATAGAGGTCGGAGAGGAAATAAAAAATTGTGGAGAATTCCTAATCTACAGAAAACTTTAGTTAAGGGAACAAAAATAGGCTGTAATTGCCGTCAGTTCTGGAAGTGCTATGCTTGTCAAAAACATGTATTTTTCCTTGATTCAAAGCATAAATGGGTAATGTGATTAACAATTACTGTTAGGTTAGAGAGGCAAAGGAATATTCTCAGGCCGAACTGTAGTCGTTGTAGTGCATGGAACTGTGCATTATTGATATTACGTGTATGTATAGTAACTGTCGCCTGTAGCAAATGACGTTTGATAGGTACATACGCAAGTCAAGCGTGGATGTATGTAACATTTGATAATTATCTGTTAATTTTGATTTGTGCCATTTTCTCAGTTGAATTTCGCTGAGCCATTGTTTGTAGCCAAGCCGAATCAAAGTCAGTGATAAATGGTTGAGTGAAGCAAGTCTGGAATTGTTTAGGATGCTAATTAGAGCAACCAAGAGACGTCTGCAGTGGCTGTCCATCGCTATTTTAAGATAATTTAAATTGATCTCCAATTATGCACATGGTACTAAGCACATTCCTTCAATTGTGGCCGCACCCAAATGGACCTGGGATGCAATGTGAGATGCTGTTACATGTGGAAGTTCCTTACACATACATGTACGACTGTCATAATTTATGACAGCAACAGATAGCAGTCAGCTTGTTTATTTCAGAATTTATTTAGAAATGTCCACGTACAAAGGTGGCTTCTTCAGGCCATGAGATATGCTAACAGCACAGTCTGTCTTGCAGTCTGTGGCTGATGGCGGGTTGGTCGCCAGTCTGCCGACCATAGCCTTAGACACAGGAGAAAAAAGATTTATGACGAATTTTCCCACACCTGAAATTTGAGCTAAACCTGCCAAAAAATTCCTCACACAAGTGACAGTCCTGAATAATGGATTATCTGGGCTGCGTGCAATCACCATATTTACTCGCCTGTTGGATTATCGGAACACAGCGGCAAGCTTTCTAGACCAGAGAAGAATGTTGGCGGCTCTTTGGCCATGCAGAGATGAGCGATAGCATTGCTTCCACATGAATTTTCACAGGGGTCCTCAGCAAAGGTCAGAAGTGACATATGTAGAGGACTGTGTTCAAGAACTGGCAGTGTTGATGCATCTTGAGAAGAAGGTAGTGCAACCATGCGCTGTGGGCAGTCTGGGTCTGGTGACAGTTGGGATGAGGTTTGGCCTCGTTATTTTACAAGCTTCATATGAGATGCCAACATTTGGCCTGGGAGTATTGACTTGACCATGAAAATACATGTATTTGGTAACTGCACAGCAAATGTGGTGTGATGTGCATGTACCTGTATTTTGAGGCACAAGTGCATGATAGCATGCAAGGTCTTGACCAGTGTGCAGTCTGTCTTAATTTTGTTTTCTTTCTCAAATTTTGTATCAGAAGAATAACTTTGTTTTCTGATCTTGTCTTTTCTACAGTGTCCATAAGATCCTGAAGTGACATCATTAAGGCTGAACTAAACCCAAGTGAAATACCACAATGGCAGGCAATGCCAGCGACATAGAAGTTCATTTCAACCCCAACGCAGACGAGATGCCAGTAGAGGTCACCTTGCGGCGACGCAGCTCGGAGAACAGCCGTACCAAGGGGCGGAGCCTGTGTCCTAAGCTCTTTGAGCGCGCCTCGGGCAGCTGGTGGAATCCTAAGTTTGACTCGGGCATCATTGAGGAGCAATTCCAGAGCAACTCCTTCTCCCAGATTCGCCGGCGGTTCCGCTACGCCCTGTGCTACATCCTGGCCGCCTGTGTGGTTTGGCTGATATATCTGCCAGTCCGCAACACCGTGGGCCGGCAGACGGACCATCTCTGCCTGAAGGACCAAGAGGACAGTGGCCAGCAGGCTTGGATTGCATTTGAGCTGGCCGTGGCGTGCCTGCTGGTACTGTGTGTCATTCTCCTCATCTTCACCATCTCTCACCATTATAAGAGTCACTTCCAGAAGGTCTCGGGAGTGCTGTGTCTGTGCCTGTGCGGCCTAACTCTAGTCACTTTTGTGTCGCACAGCTCGGCCGGGACCAGTTCACCCATGAGCAGTGTAGCCACGTTTGCCATGTGCATTGAAACAATTCTTATGATGTACACATTGATCCCCATGCCCTACCTGTACACCCTCATCCCAATGTTAATGTTCTCTGTGGCGTATGAACTACTGTACTTCCTGTATGTGGACCCAGAGAGCAGTGAGCATAGCATCACCGGCGAGGTCGTCAACAAGCTCTTCCTGCATGTGTGCGTGCACCTGATGGGCACCCACGTCTTCTTCATGACGCAGGTGCGCTCCCGCAACACCTTCATGAAGATCGGCCAGGCGGTCATGGCCCGTCACCAGCACCAAGTTGAGAAGCAGCTGAAAGAGACTACCATCCACTCCCTCATGCCCGACTCCATCGCCCACAAGCTCCTGGAGGAGAAAGGCGAGCGCAGTGACAAGATCTTCCGGCCTTTCTACATGGACCTGATGGAGGACGTCAGCATCTTGTTTGCGGACATTGCAGGCTTCACCCGGATGAGCGCCAACAAGAGCGCCGATGTGCTAGTGGGTCTGCTGAACAACCTCTTTGGCCGGTTTGACATCCTCTGCCTGGAGCATAAGTGTGAGAAGATCTGCACGCTGGGCGACTGCTACTACTGCGTCTCGGGCTGCCCCGAGCCCCGGCCTGACCACGCCGAATGCTGCGTCGACATGGGCCTGAGCATGATCGAAGCTATCAAGGACTTCTGCCAGGAGACTGGGGAGAAGGTTAACATGCGCGTGGGTGTCCACACGGGCAAAGTGCTGTGCGGCATCATTGGCAACCGCCGCTACAAGTTTGACGTCTGGTCCAACGACGTAACCATGGCCAATAAGATGGAGGCATCTGGCATCCCGGGCAAGGTGCATGTCTCGGCACAGACTGCTGAGTTCCTAGGCGACAAATACATCATGGAAGAGAGCAGAGGTGATCGCCAGGCTGTCTTCCTCGGTAGGTAACAATTTTCTGTTTGTATTGTTTGTGGCAGAAGAACCAGAAGGGAGGGGAAATTTTATGAATTTGTAGGGAAGGAAGTCTCTGTATTGATCATCCTGGCAGCTCCAGTGTTTGTGTAGTGCATGCTGAATACTTATTGATTATCTTTTTCTTGTAACTGCCACAGTGCAAGCCTCTTGCTAATATTTTGAACAAGGTGGCCTGCTGACCTCCTTAGCTTCAGACCATCTGTTCTGATCACATTTTCTCTCATGTGTTGTTTACTTATATAAACTGTACCCATACTTACAGGCCACACTTGCAGACCACATGTACACAAATGTACGCACATGTGACGGATTCTTTTTTCTTTCCTTGGTGTGACATGTTGGAGATGGTGTTTGTTTCTATGTTAACATTCTCCACTTATGAAAAGTACCATAAACAATTTGGTTGATCAGCCTCATAGCAGAAGCAGGAAGTACTGGGATCTAGTCTGACAAGTGATCTTTGTTCAGCTGTGCAGTGTACATGAATTCCAATTGCCCCCTCATGTTCACTTGGGCTGGAAGAAACTTGAAGACTTTCACCATATGGGTAATTCCTGAAATTAGGGGTCCATTTTGTTTTGTGTCCCTGTCACATCTGACACACGATTTTGTCAGTTCAGAACACATTTTCTGATTTCCAAGAGTGATGAATTAATGCAAATTACCTGCCAAACAAACAGTAATAGTTTGAAATCAATTCCGGTGATATTTCCATGTCAACTAACAAAGGTCACATGTAATAGGGACACAAAAATGTCACACTGTTGGACCCCTAACTCCTGGAATTATCCAGTCACACAGTTTCCCAACCAATGAATGCAAAGACTTTTTTCCACAAGTATTAAGTGACTGCACAATCGTGTAATCCATTTTGAAATACCGAAACTCAGTCCATTTTAGCAAGCATTCCGGGGTAAAAGAGCTGCATCATATACAAAGATGCTTCACACATCACTTAGAGGACAGATTTAAATCATGTGCTTATTTAATTGTGAGACCCTAACTGCAGTGCTTTCCCTTGCTAAGTCAGTGCATTTATCCTTCAGGCAGGAAACCACACCGAGACCGAGGAATGCAATTGAAAGTGTTCACCCCTGTAACATCAGTACTGTCACTTTGCAAGGGCTTATCCTCAAGCCTCAAAATAGAAGCGGATTGTTGGCAGAGTAATTAGAGGCCGATAAAAGAAATTCTAAAAATAGATGTCACTGTAAGTGATCTGTTTCAAGAGGATATGCTGGCTGGTATTGTAAATACAAAAAATGCTGGACTAGGAAATGTAAATTTGTCTGTTCATTACAAGCAGGTACATGTATACATGTACATGTAGGCAGTGCATGTACAAATACATGAGCATTGTGCTCATGCACGTAGGTCTGTGTGTAATCTGTGATGGTAGTGTTGATACTAGAGGTGGATTTTGTTAACTGCTAAGCACAGAACTTCTGCTAAGAACAGAAAAGGGTTACCGTTAAAAAATAATGTCAGTATGTTAATGCTGACTGGCTCTTCCTTAGGGGTCCATTTTTTCATGTCCCTGTCACATCTGACATATGATTTTGTAAGTTCAGAACACATTTTCTGATTTCCAAGAGTGATGAGTTAATGGAAATTACCTGCCAAACAAACAGTAATAGTTTGAAATCCATTCCGGTGATATTTTTTTATCAAATAACAAAGGTCAGATGTAACAGGGACACAAAAATGTCTCACTTTTGGACCCCTAATTCCTGGAATTACCCAGGTACAGTACACATACATGTATATGTACAGTACTTTATGTAAGTTGTTAAGCACGGTTTCCTTTTTGTTTGCTCCATAAGATGATCCTCAGCAGATATGCTGGTGTCCATTTACATGTACATGTACAAGCACAAGTACCAGTCAATGCATAGATATACATTTAAATACATTTTACATGAACTTTTGACACACACTTTATTTCATAAAAATGGTTCATGTTGCTTAGTATTTTGCATGTACATGTATTCGAAATGTTTTGCAGTACAGTCGCATTGCGGTGTACACATGGGTACTTGTATGGTACATAATCAGTTTTGTGTAGATTTACCAGTACATATCTGTATGTACATGTATATGTACTCCGTACTGTGTACCGCGTTGCATGTGGCTCTGCTCACAGGATAAAGTCTACAGGTCTCCATACATGTACATGTACCGGTACATGTGGGTAGGCCTTCAGCGGTTTAATATTTAAGGGAAGAGTTTCTTGTGTTTAAGGCAAATCAGGGCTGAGTTGTGGGGACATTCTCTGTCCTCACAAGGTTTCCGGTGGTACAATTAGGTGAGATATCATGTGGGTGCCCCTACACCTACTGAACAAGTACATCTGTTAGTGTGAGCATGCTCACTGCACATGAAGATTTACATGTATACATGTACATGTGTAAATAAATTCATGTACATGTGTTTGCTCAGTGGAAATGCCCTCTACCACACTGGGTCTCTGAATTTACAACAATTCAGACAATTGACTCTCTGCTGAAATTACATAAGTCTTTATTCAGTATTCTGTGTTTTTCGTTGCACTATATGCATGACTTCAGTGTTCATTCTGTGTGACTGACAAACACAAAAAGAAAAAAAAAGCCTAACTGATGTGCATACTTAACATGCATCCATGCACATAATGGCACATGTAGCACCCAGAATACATGTACATGTATATCAATTTGCTGTTGGTACATGTACATGTACATGTACATTGTTCTGGTATGTAGCGGTTCATGTGGTGCACGTTCACGATTCTGTATTTCTCTTCACAGATGAGTAACTCCAACATCCGAAGGTGATGAGTCATGTTCACAGTGTGATGTCTTGCATGTTCATGTACACCAGTAGAGACTTTTGGTGTTGAATGTCACAGGGCTCATTTTTTGGTTGTAAAGGCTAGTGACTACTGGGTATTTGCATGGAGACTTCAATACGCAGACTTCCCTTCTGGGTTTGCAGACATGAAATTCCAGCCCGCCCAACCACGATCTTTGCTGTGCATTCAGAGTCAGAAAGGTGGAATTTCAGAAGTGTGCGTCTCATTTAAACACAGAGACGCATAGTCAACCTGGTGTAGCGTATGCGTGTTTTGTTTCTGGGCACGTACAGTTGCAAAAAAACAAGAATCAATGCATTTGCAGAATAAGATTTTTTGTGCCAGTTTGTTCTGACTCACCGCAAAAGAAACACTTAAGCCCATATTGCACAATACACAATTGCATTTGGTAAGAAAAAACAAATGTTGAATCCTAATCTAGTTTTCTTTTGCCTACATTCTCTCTGGCCCATTTTTTATGGTCACAATGTACGCAGATCTTTACAGTTGGGGGCAAAGGCTTGCTATTTTTATTTTGCCATTCGAGATCCATCAGATCAGCATTGTTGCAAGTTGGGTCAACAATGTACAGTGACTTTCCCTCATTAAATTTCTCCCTGTGCCATCTTCGGAGGACCGACAATATGTCAACTGGATTGGGGGCTCAGGCTACACATGTCTGAAGCAAGCTGACATTTAACGGGTCACGTTATCTTTTTAGAGTCTCATTGATTGGCCAGCGGTTAGACGCTCACAATTTTTTTCTCTCCCAAAATTTTTTTCTCCCTCCCGCTCCGAGGGTGTTGAATTATGAGCTGCCTGAGAAGGAACTGGTGCAAAGATTTCAGAGAATCCAGTTGAATCGCCGGAGGGCATTAGTGTAGATACTCACATTGCTAATTTGAAAACTGCATGCACCTTCACCGAATCACCCATGTCATAATGTGCGTATTTCTGGTCTATTTCAAATCACCCATTTCTGCATCATGGATGCCATTTTCTTTTAAAAGTCTAGAAAATTTTGTTCTAATCATTCATTTGAATGTTTGATTGGTGTATTTGTTATATTGAGGCCAGAAATACGTAATGGCATACTGATATTTTTCTCATAGCAGGTGGATAGAAATCCTTCTTGCCTCTTACTCATTAATCCACGTACTTACACGTACCAGTACTTTGGATTTTTCACTCCAGATTTTGCTGAAATGCAAACAAATATCTTTTGTAAAGCCGAAATTCCTTATTGTAGCTTGTTGGCTCAAGTGCAAAGTTACCACTGTACATGTACAATGTATGCCCGTAGAATGTATGCAAATTGGATATGTACGTGTACCATACCATTTGTCCTTTGCTCTATGGTTAAAACATGTACCGGTACTAGCACATACATGTACATGCACACCCCTGATATGGGTCTCTATGGTATTTCTTGTCTGACACGTTCATGCACAGAGTACTAGTCATACCCATATACATGTATAACCCCAAGTCCAAGGCCAATTTGAAGTGTCTAACATGCAGGTGGCCTCAGAGCAAATGTGTTCAATATACGTATTTAATTGAATAGAAGCAACTACACGTACTTTTCGGCGATGAAAAATGGCAAGGAAGGTTTCTCCATGCTTTGCCACATGTTGTCCTGATGGTACCTTGCCTAAGACGTGTTGCGCTGACATTTGAAAACCTATTTTCCGAGACAGGCCGGCGCGATCGGAAATGCACGGCGGCCGCTGGCCACTCAGTGAATATTGATGGGTAAGAAACTGGGCATCTGAAACTAAAAGCGGAAACCTCAAGCAATAATTCCCCCCGGTGCCCAGCCCTGGCGGGCAACCAGTCCGAATCTGCTGATCTGTCTGTGTCTGGACAGATGGATAAAAGAAGGGAAGGGGGGAGGAGTTGAAGGTACACGTAGGAGAGAGGACACAAGGGGGAAAAAAGACATTGGGAGGTGTCGCCTGGTGGCAACGGAGTAGCGGTTTGGAAAGCTCATCATACGGCATTTTACTACTCATTTTATGTGTAAGGACATGTACCTGCCATGGTAGTGCTGCTTGAGCAAGGCTTGGAGAGACAAAAACACAACTGAAATAAAGTTTCTCAGTTCTGAAATTTGGACCATTTTGGATTGGTGA